ATAAGGGCATTGAAATGGCGACGGAGAGCTTTAGTGAAGTGTACTTCATTTTTAAATCATTACTTCACTAATTTCGTGGTCCGCTTGACCAATTAATACATGACAATTAATTAAGGTTTTTAGTTGAGATGAAAATGCCGTTGAGATGGGGAGTTGATGTCCGAGTGGATCGAGGTCACGATAGCTCAGGTGGTAGAGCAGCGGCGTATCTAGCCGAAGGTCGTGGGTTCGAATCCCTCTCGTGCCATTAACTTTTTTCATCTCAACTAAAAACCTTAATTAATTGTCATTTATTAATTGGTCAAGCGACCACGAAATTAGTGAATTAAAGATCGAAACGTTGGCACGATAAAGAAAATGTTTTTCTAAAACCTACGTCAGCTCATGATCTCCGAATAATCTTCTATCAAAGGAAGAAACAACAGAATGCATCAAAGGAAGCAGGACAAACTTCGTATCCTGAAAGGATTCTTAACGGGACACTGCAGCCTGTGCAGACGTTCGGATTCTGCAAAGAAGGAAAGGAGACACCAATTCACATTCTGTGGCGCTACATTTGCCTACAGGAAGAAGCAAAAATAAAAGTACACGTGTCTTGGTTTTTCACAAAACGTCCCAATAAAATAAATAAGGGAAACAGAAGTTAAACCCAAATAAATAAAGTTTTATAAGGTAAACAGTGTATAGTCCAACGGCAGAATTGTCACAGATTGATACAAAACACATCATGCATTCAAAAGTACACAATACGTTAAAATTAAATTTATTAAAATTAAAATCGCATTAAAAAAATAAAACCGTATTATAATTAAAAAAAGATAATTTGTATATATTGCTGAAATACAGGAATGTAATGAAAGGGTGAGCATGTAATTTAAAACAGGTTATTAGTTAAAAGCAGGTTGAAGTATGTTAATGAAACGAGTTTTGGGATACTTTGCAGTCAAATCTCAGGGGGATATGTTAAGATATTATTTGTTATGTTAAAATATTAATATGTTTATTTAAATTTTTATTGCGATTTATCATATAAGAGTATAAAAATAATTATTAGCAAAGCTCAATTATTACAGGTTTACGACTGGTTTAAGCCGTCTAGAAAGTTCAAGACGCTTGCCATTAATATATGTATTATAGTTTATTTGTTTTATGGTTCGTCTATATTTTTCTTAAAGGCTTTGAAGGCATAAAAAAGTAATGTTTGAAGTGTATTTTTCTGATGAGGCAAAATGTAATTTTCATAAACAATTATTTATCGAGACACGAACGGTCCTAAACCAATGATTTATTCACATATCGAAATCTAGGTATTAATTGACTTATAATCATGAGTAGAGGGACAGGAGTGAATGGTGTAATTCCGATTTCTCTCCACTTGCAAAACTCGTCCTAATTTTCGACCGAAAGGCCTGGAAGGATCCGTGAAGTACAGGAACCCGGGGCATTAACTATATATCCTCAGCGCCGACATGATCTCACCCATTCTCTGAGAAATCTCCGATGAGAGTGCTACTTTTTCTGAGCCTCGCCCTCGTGCTCGTCCGGGCCGGAAAGTTGCAGCCAGTGCCGACGAGGATCGAACCGAACAGGAGAGTCACGGCATCATCCGGCTTGGCGCACTCGTTCCCAAGGATAGGACAGACCCGGCAGACTATGAGGTAATAAGGGCATAAACGCGCTCACCTTGGGAAATTTTTTATATTTATACGTTTTTCTTTTATTGCTATAACTAAAAAATTACATTAAAGCATACACCACCCGTATTTTCAAGCTGATTTTTATTTTATGATACAAAATAATTAAATTACGAGGACTCGTTTTGTACTGCAGATCAAAATAGCGACGAGTGTCAAACAAAGAATAATTACTTTTAATAAAAAATAATAATTACATGTGTATTATTTCCAAATTTTTTTACAAAATCAAAAGAGATTTTGCCAAATTGCCCTGAAAAGTTGAAGGTACATATCAACCTACATTAAGGTACATTATTAGACAACCTTTAAAGTTAACTTTATTGATAACTTAATCAACTTGACATAAAGTCGTACAACTAAAACTCTTTAATGAGAAAGTTCTTCAATTTCAATAAAAGCCTTTCAACGCTTTTTAGTTCCACCCTTCTATACATGAGGTCTGAAATTTTTTTGAATATTAACATTTGACATTTTATTGATTAAAATATTTAGATTCAAACGCATTTTTATTAATCATCATATAAACCGAATTTTGAAAAAAAAGTTTGACTTTCAGAGATACAGGCCGAATCCGATAGTTCCTACTTTGGGATACCATTCTATCAGGGTAAGTCAGATAAAAGTGAAGATCTTCCTTTCTTTTTTTTTCAATATTTCCTTCCAAGTTTTCCAATCTCTCTTCTGTAAATTTCAGGGTCTGGTACGAGTTAAGAGGGCTAGAAAACGCATCAACCCCCAGTTCATCAGAACGATTCCTCCGATAAAAAGACGACGTGATCCTCCCCTGTTCAGCTTTTTCCAGCTTTAATCAAAAACAAATAAATTAATTTTTAAAAAACGAGGTTTATCTTCATAAATAGATACTTCACTTTTTTAAAACCGTTATTTATTTTCTAATCGTCGAAGCTTTAACAATAAAAATAATTTAAATAGTAAAAATATTTATGTATAGTGCTACTTTTTTTTATTTGTTCCTATTGTAAAGAACATACATTTTATTTTAAACAGTTGCTTATTTATTAATAAATAAAGTTGCAATTTACAATAATTTTTCTTATTTTCAACGAATTTCTAGTCCTAATCCTAAACCACTTGATTTGATCCAAATTTAAAAAAAAATTTTTTTTCTTTCTAGAAACGCAATACATCGAATTTTAATTTAGGTTACTTTTCAGGACTTATTAAAAAAACTTTTTTCTTTCTAGAAACGCAATACCCCGAATTTTAATTTAGATCACTTTTCAGGAGTTATTAAAATCAATTTTTTTTCTTTCAAGAAACGCAATACATCGAATTTTAATTTAGGTTACTTTTCAGGAGTTATTAAAACCATTTTTTTAGAAATACAATATTTTCTTTCGACGTAAAATATTTAATTTTTTTATCCACGTTGTTTATCGTCTAAACGCTGAAATCAGTAAAAATATAAACCGTATTTACGGTCTGCTTATCGACTTTTAGGTGGGTTTGATTCTTAATGAGCTGGGGGGCAGAAGCCAAAATACTTTCAAAGTAAAAGCCCAGGTTGTTACCTTTGAGAAGACATTTTCAGAAAAATAACATTACGGAAATATATTTTAATATAAATATTTAGATTCAAATTGGCATTATGGTGAAAAGAATAGAGGAAAAATCTACCTCAATTTTTTTTAAATATTTTTAATCTTCTGCTCTTGAAAGAAATATTTTCAAATGAAGGAAAAGTCTTTGAAACTCTCCATTACAGACTTACTTTTTACAAGAAAGCTATCGTTTTACTTCAGAAGTGATTAAAAAACTTTTAATTCTTTTTTTTACAAATATTTTTATTTTTGGCTCCAAAACCCATGAAAGAACTGGATCAGACATGTTTTGTACAAGCCTAAAACATGAGCAATCAGACTCATTAGGGAAATACTCCACGCTTTTCATGCTGAAATACATGAAGTCAATGCTTATGCCCTAAAAAATGTCAAAAGAGGTTACTTAGGCAAAAAAATCCTCTTAAGTTCGGTTAGCCAAGCATTAGTATCTTAAAAAATTACATCACAATAAATCTGAAGATATCTTGGGTACCAGGACGCACAGAAATTTTGGGTAACGAAAAATAGCACACTGGCCAGAAGAGGATCCGCAAATCCATATATCGACCCTGAACCTATACTTGGGATGACAAAAACAAATGTAGAATCCTCCATCTCAGAATGGATCCAAAGAAGATAAAAAGAGAAGTGGATAAACTGTAAAGGTGCTAGACACAGTGAGGTTATGTTGGAACAAACCTCACTAAGACTGGCAAACCCACTACTACAGTTAGAGAGGGCTAAACTCAGCGGATTGGAAGGCCCTTTACCGGTCACAGTTATCTGAGAAAACATCTACACAACATGGGCACATTCAATTATGATCCCATATGTAGATTATGCAATGAGGAGGAAGAGAGAGCCACCCGTGTCATCTTCGACTGGGAAGCTACCGCTCAAGAGACAACCTGGGATACAAATAAGGCTGCTCGTCTATTGGAACCGAATTATGATGGCCGTTCAACAGCCGAACTATTTGACCAAACGGACGACCAGCAATATAGCCGAACGCCGACGTCCACTGTAGCCGATTTTCGTCAGTTCACGACACAGCCCAAATGGATGTAGAAGATGTGTTGCTGCTCGAAAATTCTTAGTTTACAGACAAATGGAATGAAAGAAATAAACAAAAATATTGGAAGTTCCATTTCTAAAGCTATCCTTGACCACAGCTTACGCTGGACATCTCTCCGATGATAGAGTGGATCACGCATGTCCCAAGAGCCTGCTCCTCAACCGCACTTATCGATTTTTCGCAATCCATCGAAATGAAAACGAAACGAAAAAGTAAGCAAATAGCAAAGAACCATTAAACAATGGTGAGTGTTTGATGTCACGTGGTTGACAGTTGGTCGAAGTAACCATTCAGCCGAATAGGATTGGAAAATCCAACTTTATTTGGATCGGAAAGTGCTTCGGCCGTACACGGCCCAACACGACCGAACGAATTGGTTCTAATGGACGCGTCCTCATTCGTTTCTTCGCTTTTGGATCAACAGGCCCTATGCACACCGAAAACGGCTCCAGTGGACGGCCTACCTAAAGCCCAGGGAATGCAGCAACGAGTCAATGACCTAATACTTCTTAGAAGAAGGATCGAGTTGATTGCAATGAACTAACAAACTATGAATTTTCAGTAAACAAGAAGGCTGTAGTGCTTTGGGAACAAAAACCCCACCTCCTAGTATCCATCATCGTATCATCGAAGTGGTGATTTTGTTTAAAAAATAAACTTTTATTGGTTTTTTGTTTGATTTGTATCAATAAAAAAATGTTCATATTTTTGATTCATTTTCATCAGTTAATGGCGGGAATGCAGGAAAAACATCAGATGAACACTTTTCTTCTTCGTCCTCACGTTTCTCCAATACGTTTTTACTTAATAAATCCAGTTTTTAGCTAAGCTTTAAAATTTACAATAAAAGATTACATTTCCTCTGTTGAATCTCCCCCAGGACCTCAAGGTTCGAAAGACATAGGCTTCATCATTTTCTGTAAGAGATAACTGAAATAAAAAATGTACGCGCTAAATTATCTTTTTTCCTTTTCAATTATGAGTGTTATTACTTTACAAGTTTATGTTCATTTTATTGTGACCAATTCCATTATTTATAAACTGCTTCCTTCACATGCCTATTCGTAGTGATGCATTTTTTCTGAAGATCGGTATCGTCAAAAAATGAGGAATTGTCATGCTGCCTCATTTTGAGGACTACGTCACGGAACACCGACGGGTTATCTTTTGTCGGGTCTTCCCTCTTCCACGATCGGGTATAATCCGTTGTTTTCATTTTTCTTTTGGACGGCTCCGTCGGATTTTTTTTGGATTTCAATACCTCCCTGTTGAATCTATGGGCTACGTCGTCCATCCTTTTGTCGTCTATTGGTGGCAGTCTCCTCTCGCTTGGCGGCCTCAGCCTGGACTTGGCGAAGGGATCGACGGAAGCGGTGATGTCCGGATAGGATTTTTCCTCCTTCAAACGCGGTCCGAGGAAAAACGCGATAGTCTCCTCCTCGTCGTCACACGTCGCCACCGGAGAGTGAAGATAGCTCCGAACCAGAGAATCTTTCGAATACGATTCTTTAATACCGGGAAGGACCGGGTATTTTTTAAGCGTTATCGGTTCTATCAGGTCTTCCCTCCAGCTCAGCAAATCGACCGTCTCGTCGGCTTCATCTACCGCGTACGTACAGTTGTACATTGTTCCGTTGATGTTCGGCAAAACTGGATACTTCGGTTTTACCTTCGGCTCGTATGTATTTTCCCTCATCCGGCATAAAAATGCGCTTGTGTCGACACTTTGTTCCGAGTGACTGCCTTTTATATTCGGCAGTACGGCATACTTATTCAAACCGGATTTCTTTAACAAACTGCCAGTTTGATCGCCTTCGCTCTTGCTCGATGTAATTTTATTGCCATAATAACTTGAGTTCTGATTTGATTCTTTTTCCCGAAGAAATTGTATAGAGGCTTGATTTCTCTTTCTGTATCGGTCTTGTACACGTCCTTCTTCGTTTAAGGCCAATTGATCGTCCGTGATTGCGTTTTCAAATGTCGGTATTATCCTTTCACAAGGACCGCAGTCGTCGACGGACAGAACTAGATCGAAATCTTTTTCGAGATTTTTAACACTCTCGCAAGTCTGTCTTTCATCGAGGTCTACCCAAAACCAAAAAAATCCAGGGGGTCGGTTGTTGCGTTTTAATCGTGAGGACGAACTGTTGACTTTAAGGTTTGACTCCGATTCGGACTTTTCATCGGTGACCACATCAAAACGGGGGTCGGAATCGTTTGTCAGAGAATCCGGGATGGATTCGCTATTGGAAAACGATTCTGCACTAAGGACCGTCTTGCCACGAGAGTCAAAACGTTTTCTCCTTTTGGTTTCGCTTTGCATTTCACATTGCGGTTTTCGTGGCCGCCTTTTCGTTTTACTGCTCGGCGAAGAGACTTTTTTGCTCTGCCGAGGTGGCCGCGGATCGCATTGCTCGGCCTGCTTCAGTGAAAGCCTTTTCGCTTTTCCACTTCTCTTCCTACTTTTTTGAAACAAAGCTTTCCGAAGATTAGATTTGAAATCACTAGGGTCGAGAACCCTACCACCTTTCAAACCGACGTCCTCGTTTACTTCGTTTACTAGGCCACTATGTACAAATTTCTTTCCATTATAGATCCCATCATAACTCTGCTTCTGGAACAAATTTAATTTAGGCCAAATAAATTCGGTTAATTAACATTTTTCTGCCCTACAGAGCAAACATGTATGTTGAATACAAAAAAGTAGGCTTAATTATTTTAATTCAAAATTTAGAACAATAAGCTAAAAGATTAAATAAATCACCAAGTAAAGTAGTTGAATACATATAACACAGAAGAACTTAAAGTCCAACTATCGTTGGGTGTCGAGAACTAAGTGTCAGAACCCCTTTATACCACTTTTTCCAAATTTTTCTCAATATAAAATTGCAATGGGTATGCCGGGATTCGAACTCAGAACTACCAACATGGCCAATAAGAGTCGAGCGCCCTTACTCTGCCACTGCGGTCTTTTTAAATGTATTTTTATTTATAAGTTCTAGTTTTATATGTAACTTATTTATATTTTGGTAATTTATCTTTTTATGTATTTTTCTCTAAGCATATTTTTTTTTCTTTGCATATTTATCAATGAAACAGTACGCCCAGGTAGACGGGCATCAAGTGCTTGTGAACTGGGTAAATGTTAACCACATCATCGACTATAACTTTTAAAAAACAGACAAAGAGATTGATCTGCTTATGCTACTAGTTTTGACTGCCGGGCTCGATTCACCAGCTTCGGTGGTTGGACTGTGTGTTATTTCGCCAGTACTGCTCTTTTATAACTGTAAACTGTTAAGAAGTGCATTGTCTTCCGTTCTTTCAGCTTCTTTAGTCTGATGTTTCTTCTGCCATTTTGTTTTCTGTCATGTAGTACTTTAATGGAAATTATCATCGAATTGGTAATTTTTTTATAACTTCGTAAGTTCCCTTGTGACCGAACGTTTTATGTCTAGGTTACTTCAATCACGGCACAACTTATTACAATTTTACTTTCAACCTCGAACAGGATAAAATCTCAGTTTCTTCTTAACAGCTTACATAATTTTAAATAATTTATGACTATGATTGAACTTAAAAGACTTATTACAAATTACATTGTAATAAGTCTTTAGAAGTACTGTATCATAATGATAAAACCAATAAAAGTGTGGTATTGAAGAAATTAAAAGATTCCTGAGAGGTTGTAACAGTTTCTTGTGTAAAAATCGTCGAACACATAAAGGCAGTTCGAGTCAATTTCAATAAAAAAGTTAATGAAGGTTAAAATATAAAATTTTCAAAGGGAACTGACTGGATAAGCAAAAATTACTTACGGTTTTCATGGGCTTTTACTATCAGAACACTCTATTCGATAATATAAGAAAAGCACACCTACACCCTACAGAACACGCGACAAAAACGGCCACTATTGCTAAAAAGAAAAAAACAACACCTACAAGAAAGTGTATTTATTAATTTTTTTCAATGCCTTACGAATCATTTCTAGGCGGAAAAAATCATATTTGGTGACCACAACTCAGTCAACCCCTGTAATAGTGTAACAACATATTTAATGTTATGGTCTGCTTTAATTAAAAAGCCATGCATATGACCTGTGCAAGTGATTAATTTTTTTTCTTGTTCAGGTTAAAATGAAAACCATTGGTGGGATTTGTTGACAATAAAATACAACAAACTACTGTGTACATAGTTTGAAGTACCAACGTATATCTATAATCACAAAAGCTCAAGTAATTAAGAAACGTTTCTCGTCAAAATATACAGCGAAGACCCTGGCAATGATCAAAGACAGCCAAAAAACGGAATTTTTTGTGTTTACAAGGAATTTCAAATAGTTTCATTCTTTTGCTATCAAATTAAATACTCTAAACTCAAGAAAAAGATGGACTGCACTACCTTTTGGCAAAAATTGGGTTAACGTTTGTAGTCTAGACTGTAATCGACCATATTAACATATGTACTTACAACTACAACAAATGTAAATAAAATATAAAAATTACAATTTACTCGGACAAACTTCTTCACAGTCAAATAAATAAAATGAAGTTATTTTTATACTTCTTCGTGTATATATTTGTGCACGGTAATGAGATAGAAGAGCAGCTGGACGGAGAAAATGAACAGCCTAGGTCGGTGGTGAGGAAGAAAAGAATATTAGGTGGAGAGGTAGTACACGATGGTGTTGGGATTTTTATTGGCAGTGTGCAAAGAAGATCGGATCGAGCACATTTATGCGCCGGGAGTCTCATAACTTTAAGACACTTGATCACCACATGCAGCTGCGTGGCCCACAGTGACGACAGCTCGTCCGGATTGACTTCCGCCCTTCCCGAAGGGTTTATCGTCATAGCCGGTTCAAAGAGCAACACGGTTCTTGATGATGCGAACACGAGAAACGTTTCGCGGATGGAGGCGGACGATAGATGTCGTTACGACCCCGATGCCGCCCTCTGGGAACACGACATAGGCTACATCACCGTCTCGAAGGCGTACACCTTGATAGATCAGAAGTTGGGATTGGTTAAAAATTTGCACAGCACACAAGAGGCGTTAGACAGTGATCTTTTAGCTCTTAGGCATACCAGCGAGTTCCAGGAAGGAGGCAAAGAATTCTGTTACGTGTACGGCTGGGGTGCGACATCAATAAAGAAAGATAACCTATTCGACGTTGGAGACACATCGGAACAGCTGATACACAAAGCCGTGCAATTCGTCAGTAATCTCGTATGTAAGACGAAATTGTGCGGCATAAATGACTACGTTTGCGCCTACGATTTAGAAGAGAATAACTGTTTTTGTATGGTCCCTTCTGGAGGAGCTGTCGGACCGTTATGCTTCGCCGACAACGGTAGTCCTTTGATATGTAAAGATCGTCTTTACGCAATCGGCGAGGTGGCGAACGAATGCGGCGTAAATATGAAATCTAGTTTATTTTATAAACTAGACATCGCAAGTATAAAGCGTTATATTCTATCGGGTACCTCCGCTTTGACGACTAATTATTTTTTTCTCCATTTCCTAACTGTCTTTCTATCCTTACACTATTGGTGAGTAATGGGACAGATTGAAATACTCAAATATGATTAATTGTAAATTGAATTTTACTATTATTAGTTGATATACAAACCCATACAACATTTTTTTCGTAATTACATTCACAAGACGAAAATATTTGTTGTACCAAATACTTTGGTAGAATTATCAAAACAAAGTTAACTAACTGCTCACATAATAAAAAGTGTCTGACATATTACGTTGTTCATCGGACTTTTCGTTTCTCATCGGTTATTTGTATGTACTCCATTCCGAGCTTTCTCAATATTTCGTCTGGGACGATCTCGCCTTGTTAACCAAGTCGTCAACCCCGGCGTACCTCGATAAAGGTCTGGCCTCATCGCCTCATCTTCATACACAGTCTAAGAGTAAGACCTCATGGTCTCTCCCACCGCACTGTAGAGTCTGCACGGCGGAATTGTAAGCGATTTGGCACGCGCTTGAGGAGGCGATAAAAAAAAAAACATTCAGGCCATGGTAGTCGTCCACCATGGTTCCTCCGTAGTCCCACTTATTGCACTTTTCTGTCGAGATACAACGAGTGGTTTTTGTTTGGTTACCTGGCCACATAGGTCTGGAGGGTAACGAAAAGGAGACCGGTATGTCTCCCGATTCTCTGACGCTGTGAGCACGTCAGCAAATATTTTGGGACCCCTGTTCACATTCTTGGGGAAAACAGGGTTGTTTAATTGTATACATGTTATATTTTGTGAGATCGAGGATGTGGTCCAATGAATTTTATTTATATTACATTTCATATTGATTGGACCAAATCCTGTTTTCTCCAAGAATCGGAAAAGGGGACCCAAAATATTCGTTGATGAGCTCAAGCACGATTCCCATATCGAATGGCATTCCTACGCGCTGTCTATATGGCTTTGGTCCAAAAGTTAGTGTCAGTGTGCCAACCTCATGTGGCCAATTCTTAATCGTAAAAAAATATGTGAATAGTAGCTGGTCGAATACTTTTACATCATTTATTGTATATAGCACTGATAGTTTTGTGTCCCTAGAGCGTATTGAGAAAGAATGTATTAATTAGCGTGAATGTGAAGTGTGAGAGGGCCATGGCGGAATATTGAGTACCCCATCGGCCTTAAATTAGCTACACTTAGGAATAGTTACACAATAGGTGTAAACTCCAGGATCCTAGCTGAGTAAATGATATGTAAATAAGAATGGATTTAGATGGAGTAAGAATAGTTATACAATAAGTGTTAGGAATCGGCAATTTGATTATGTAGGAATCTTCAATGACCGAGCGTTTGGCCATAGCCCTTGGAGCTCAACTAAGGTGGCTGGACGGAGACCGAGATCCGACCTGATAAATGTTGTTTACCATCAACTGTTTGCTTATATTGCTGGTCCTTCCAGGAAAGTATCCACATAAAAAGGGAGTTTTGGTGAAATAAAACCGATTGATTTGCTGGGGCCCAATATCTACAAATTGCGTTTACGACCGCAGGAAGTGTGCTTCAAAAATATTAATATTATACACGTGAAGACCAATAAATCGTATTTGCTGGCACTTTTTATATCTTTATAATTAATTTTGTCGCTTAATTAATAAATAAGAAAATAGTTCAGAACTCCTCCACGCGACCTCTATTGTCCTTGTTAAACGGCCTAACTGGTAAGCTTTTCCGCGAAAACAATAGATGGCGAATGAAATAGTTCACTGGATAGTTTTCTGTCAAAGAAATGCAAAAATTCAGTTCATTCATTTCCTTAGAATAATGACCTTTAAAAGACGCAATTTTAAAAAGGATTGCGGAGTCTGATGACCGATAAATGTTAAAATTAATATTTCAGAATTGTCTTATAAATACAAATATTAAATGAATATAGTATATATTTCGACGAAGCATATATTAAGCAATATACCATCCAATATTTATTACTTTAACATGAAATAATGAGACATAACATAACATGAATAATAAGAACATATGTAGTTACAAATTATTACAAACTCATAACACACAAAAAAGGGATTTTTAGCCAAAATTCTATACTCATACACATCTACACCACACGCACACACAAGATGAAATTGTTGGTTTTCTTTTTGTTTTATACTATTCTTCCTGGGATCGAGGTACAGGAGGTACAGGAGGCACAAGACAACAATAATCAAACTATTCGAAAGTTGATAAGAAAAAAAAGAATCTTAGGAGGAGAAGACGTGAATCCTGGTACGGCGATTTTCATGGCCAGTTTGCAAAGAAGATCGGATCGAGCACATGTGTGCGCTGGGAGCCTCATCACGTTAAGACACTTGATCACCACGTGCAGCTGCGTGTCGCATTCTTACGACAGCTCGTCAGGATTGACGACGGCCCTTCCGGAAGGTCATATCGTCATCGCCGGTTCGGCAAACAATTGGCAACTGGAAGAGGCACACACGAGGAACGTTTCTCGATTCGAGGCCGACTATAGGTGTCGGTATAATATCATTGCCGGCATGTGGGAATACAACATAGGTTACATCACCGTCTCGCACGCTTACGAATTTATGGACGAAAAGCTTGGACTGATTAAAAATTTGCACCACACGCAGTACGAGTTTGACAAGGATTTTGCCGCTTTGATGGCCGAGAAGGAATTACAGGAAGGTGGCAAAGAATACTGTCATGTTTACGGCTGGGGCGCTAGTACTAAGACGAAAAACGAAGAAGGAACCTTCGACGTAGGGGGTTTTACGGCTCAGCTGAAACTCAAGGCTGTGCAACACATAAATCAAATCAGTTGTAAAGCCCGGATATGTGGTATAGGTAATGGCGCTTGCACTTACGAATTGGAGCCGAATAAATGTTTTTGCATGGTTAGTGCTGGAATGAGAGACGGACCCTTGTGTGACGCCGACAACGGCACCCCTTTAATGTGCAAAGACAGACTCTGGGGAGTCGGAGAAATGCTTTTCGAATGCGGCTTAGTAAAAGCTAGCTTATTTTTTAAACTCGATATCGACAGTATAAACCATTACATTTTTTCAAGTGCCACCTTCCCCAAAATCGATTATCTCTTGATTTTCATTCTGGCAGCTTTTATTACTTTACAATAATTTCGAAACGCAGAAAAAAATAAAATCACGGAAAAACTTGAAAATATTAATTTATTGTTCTTCCCTTTTTCTATCATCATTGCCGATTTTATACTAAGAAGACAATTTTAGAATTACTGCATAGAAGTTATCGAGCTTGATTCCAGTCAAACATGTCTGGAGCTCGTAAGAGGGTTCAACAAAATGAAACCATTCGGTCTAGCTTACATCCATTTTGGAAAAAGTTAAAGCTGGTCAAATGGCTTCCTCATATATTGGCCGTTCTTAAAAAGCTTCAGCGTTTAAACATTTGCCTTTAACTGTTTTCATCGCACTTCAAGTAGAGACGTATTGACCGGATTGCCACATGCGACGAAAAATGGATCATGCACAGTAACACCAGAAGGACATACCTTTAGATGTCACCAAATGACTGTCACTTGGACGCAAAAAATCAAAAATTCACCAACAAAAGGAGATGCTCTGTTTTGGGAGTAGTTTTTTGTACTTGTTGAACCACTTCTGCTATAATGTAGAGGGCCTTCACCGGGGAGGGAATGTGCCAACTTCACCCTCTCCTAATAGACTAAAATCACCACTACAGATATTTGTTGTCAAAGTTTGGCTGTTGTTTGTTATGCTTTTTTTATACATAGAAAGAGGTAACAATATCAATAGTGAAATAGGTATGTACGTCGCAGATGGATGCAACAACGACTGCGACAAAAAAAGAGATCGGAGAAATCGAAAAGATTAACGCTAAAAGTTTATAAGATATTAGGCCAAATGTTTGTTCGATGTGTCTAATTGAATGAAGGCATTCCTTGTTCCACATAGATAGGGCATAGGAATGCCAAAGGGGATGAGAATTTTGCTTGAGCATGGCATGGAGTGTCTGGTTGTTGCATATAATACTGATATTTTTGTGTCCGTAACGTGAGAAGGTCGATGAAATAATGAGAACCCATCTATCCTCAATTATATTAGTTACACAATAGGTGAAGGTGAAATATGGAGTACTCCACCACCCTATTTTTTTTTTTTTTTTTTACAACTGCATTCTTCGACGCAACAAGTAAAACATAATATTTACATATAAACAATTATAACAGAAGCATGAAAGCTAGAACAGCTACCATCCAATGATGGTGGCCGTTAGTACATCAATACGATGAAATAGATGGACTCCGTCCTAGGAGACCGATGTAAAGTGTTAAATTTGTCGCGGGGCCACCGACGCTTCAGTCTTCTGTTGGGATTATTAGGTGATGTGGTGGATGACAGGTTTTTGACGAAAGGATTCGGATGATGGGGCAGTTTGGAATGGAACGTTTTTTAGCGGGATCGGGCTAGCTCGGTAACAAAAGGGACATTTAGGTCGGTATGGATGGTGTGATTGGATACATAGAAAGGGGCGTTGACTATTCTTCTGAGAATTTTGGATTGAAGGGATTGGATTCAATTGAGGTTGGAACGCTTAGCAGTCCCGTAAAGTTCAAGTCCTTATGTCAAAATGGGGGCCAGGAGGGCAATGTAAAGTTTTTCTTTTGTTTGTTAATGAGAGTTTTGACCGTCTGTCGTTTAAGCATAAAAATCGTATGTTACAGTCTGGGCGCTTAAGTCGTGTAGTCAGTCGTTTGTCCAGGTAGAGTCCGAGGTATCGTACATGGTTCGCAATTGGGGATGGGAACGTTGTTTAGTTGTACTGGTAGGAGTGTTTTCTTGTTTAGGATAAATATATGTTTGTTGATTTGGCTTCGTTGATCTTGATTCTCCAATGACGGAGCCAGCATTCTAGGATGTGTAAGTGATTTTAGAGATTACGGTTTAGCTGTGACAGGATCTTTATCAGGAGAAAGGATTTCGGTATCATCGGAAAAGGTGAAGGTGATAATGTTAGGTTGCGTAGGTAGGTCGGAGGTTTGAATAAAGTAAAGGAACCAGCACGCTGCCCTGTGGGACACCTGCTAGAGTAGGATGGATAGGAGACAATGAATTTCTGTGGATACTTATAAGTAAGGATCGTTAAAATAAGATTTTAGGATAAGGTAATAGACTGCTGATAGGATGTTCTTGAGCTTCCACAACAGCCCAGAGTGCCGTACTTGGTCAAAGCCTTGTATATCCAAGAACACACCGGGCAATACTGTTTTGGCTCAAGGGATGTGGAAAAAACGTCGACTATGCGATGTGCTTGTTGTACAGTTGAGAGGCAACATCGAAAGCCGAACTGGTGATGGAAAATTGTGTTTGTTGGAATTTCCTTGGACAAGCGAATCAATAGGAAAAGAGAGGCCCAACTCGGTACACGCCTGTATGCACGTATATGCGTGTGCAGATTTTAGTATATGTAAAACATTAATCAATAATCAACCGTCTTATAATGTGTTCCGGATATGTAGAGTCGAAGAAATTTTTTTCATCTAAGGCAAGCATAACGGATAATGGTTTTGATGAAAATTACGAGCACAATCTTACAGTATGTTCTTTTTCTTGATAAATCCATTATATTTAGTAGTCTGATTGACCAAATTACTTCTTTCAATTAATTTCTTTTACTTGATAGTTTAAGTCAACACGATCACAAATTGTGGTTAACAGAAAGTAATGACAAAATGTACTTAGCAATAACATTTAAAAATATTTGAAAATGTTAAAAGAAAAACCAAATCGAACAACTCCAAAAATTAAGGAAAATTATTCATTTTGAAAGGCAATAAAAGTAATATTTGCCATAGTATGATGCTATTAAATTTGTTACAGAAAAATGAGAGAAAAATAAAAAAATAATGACTTCACAAAAAATTCAATTTATTGATTAACTATTCAGAAATCGTGAGATGCGGATTCAAATTTTAATGATAATTAATAATTATTCGGAAATCGTGAAATGCGGTCTGGTGTGATGTAGGATTTAGAAAAACATTTTCTTTATCGTGCCAGCGTTTCGATCTTTATTGAGATCATCTTCAGGGCTCAAAGTGTTTGTCTTCTGTGTAATTGTGCCATTCTTGCGTGTCGTATTGAGAGTTATTGATTAACTCTGAATACGACACACAAGAATGACACATGTACACGGAAAAGAAACACTTTGAGCCCAGAAGATGGTATCAATAAAGATCGAAACGTTGGCACGATAAAGAAAATGTTTTTGTTAACCTACGTCTCACCAGACAGCATTTCACGATTTCCAAATAATTATTGATTATCATTAAAATTTGAATCCAATCTTTCAGGGAACAGTTGATACATATAAAATTAAAATAAAAACGACTTACAGTTTGATGTCATAAGGGAGAAACCCATAAAGAAACCCTTCGAGCCTTTTAATTTAAAAGTCAAAATAAAATTTACATTAAGTTTGCCAGCTGAATCGAACACCTTCCAAAACCTTTTCTCTCAAATCTTAAATATTTTCTAATCTTTACCGACAATTAAGCTATAAGCAAAATGGCGACTGATGATATTTTTGTTAATCTCTCCCCTCTTTCGAAATTTTCCAGCTGACCCATCCAAGTCCAATCAGATTTGTCGTGTTTCTCCCTAATTTGAAAATTTTAATTGGGATGAACCACCATCACAAAAGTACTATATCTTTTCCTTCCTAATTTTGCACTAACATTTGCAAGATTAATATTCAAACGAACAACCGAAAGAAAAGAAAATTGTAATTTAATTTATATTCAGATTATTTATATACCATAGTAAAAACCTCTAGTTATTACACCTTTAATTAATAGTAAATCGTCTAAAATAGTTGTCTAATTTATAAATGAAAACAATATAGATATTTGTAAAAAAGAATATCATTGGCTGTCCTAATTAATTTTTTATTAATAACGAAGTTGCAGATTTTTGAAATAATAATTTTCTCCGAGAAAGCCCCTCTACATTATATGCTCGTTGGGTAGAAGTATCTCGCTTCTAATTAATTCTAATTCACTAGTTTCCGTGGCCCGCTTGACCAATTAATATCTTTCAATTAATTTAGGTTTTTAGTTGAGATAAAAATGTCAATGTCACGAGCGGGATTCGAACCCACGACCTTCACCGCTACTCTACTACCTGTGCTATCGTGACTTCGATCGATTAGGACACTTTCGAATCCCGCTCGTGACATTGACATTTTTATCTCAACTAAAAACCTAAATTAATTGAAAGATATTAATTGGTCAAGCGGACCACGAAAACTAGCGAATTGAATAAGTTAAAATGAAGTATATCTTCACTAAAGCTCTCCTTGGCCATTTCAATTGTCGCCGAGAACCGAATCCTGATTACACGACATTTGAAAAATGGCAAAAAGGAGGGAAAATTCAAAAGGCGGGGGTTGAGATGAGAAGTTAGTGTCCGATGGATCGAAGTCACGATTGCTGTGGTGGTAGAATAGCGGCATATCTAGCCGAAAGTCGTGGGTTCGAATCCCGCTCGTGACATTGACTTTTTTATCTCAACTAAAAACCTTAATTAATTGAAAGATATTAATTGGTCAAGCGGACCACGAAAACTAGCGAATTGAATAAGTTAAAATGAAGTATATCTTCACTAAAGCTCTCCTTGGCCATTTCAATTGTCGCCGAGAACCGAATCCTGATTACACGACATTTGAAAAATGGCAAAAAGGAGGGAAAATTCAAAAGGCGGGGGTTGAGATGAGAAGTTAGTGTCCGATGGATCGAAGTCACGATTGCTGTGGTGGTAGAATAGCGGCATATCTAGCCGAAAGTCGTGGGTTCGAATCCCGCTCGTGACATTGACTTTTTTATCTCAACTAAAAACCTTAATTAATTGAAAGATATTAATTCTAATCTTGAATTTCCAACCCACCATTTGAGTTGAATATATTGTGTACATATATAATTAATTAACTGTATAATATTATAACTTATTAAATATGTAATAGAGATTATAATGCTCAGATTTTACTCAGTTCTGATAGAATGGTTTAAATAATCTATGATGTTCTGGAAGAGAATTGTTAGAGAGAACCAATTGATCGACTACTAATGATTAAAAGTTGTAAAGAGGTTAAAGTAAAATAAACAATTATTAAATTGTTAACATTTCATGGTTGTAAGCAAGGTATTAAACTTCTTGCAATCTGCTTCTGATAAGATGCGTTTTTTAACTATAAAACCACAACGAGGATAGGCCAGGCTATAGACGAAAAATATGCGCGCACGTACCTTTTTTGTGGTCTTATATGTTTTTCAATATTAGCCAAAGAGCCTTCTACTTTTTGGGGGAAGTGAATCGTGAAAGAAAATTCCAGGGGCGATGGTGGGAATCGACCACTAGCCGAGATCCTGCCAACCACGCATCGCCGTCCCCTTATTTCAAAACATTATTTTTTCAATAATTAATTCCAAATTAATATTCATTATTGATTATATAATTACGTTATGATGATTATGCATATTGACTTTTTTTTTGTAGTCCAATATTTAGCAAAGAATAGAATTAACATATGTAGTACAGGCTATTCAAAACATTTAAAAAAACTGTGAGCTTTATTTGTTCAAAATTATTTGTGCATATACACAGAACAGAACGATGAACTTACTTGTCTACTTTTACTTACTACTTTTACTTGCGTTTGTTGGGAGTAGTGAGGTGTACGAGGCACTGTACGGCGGAAATAAACCACCTCGAAAGTTGGTGAGGAAGAAGAGGATAATAAAAGGGGAAGTCGTAAACGATGGAGCAGGAACCTTTATGGCCAGTTTGCAAAGAAGATCGGATCGAGCCCATTTGTGCGGTGGGAGCCTCATCACATTAAGAAGTATGATCACTTCATGCAGCTGCGTAGCGCACAGCGACGACAGCGCTTCGGGAATCACGTCCGCCCTTCCGGAAGGTCATATCGTCATCGCCGGTTCGAAGAACAATTTCAATCTGGAGGCCGCACACACCCGGAACGTTTCTCGGTTCGATGCCGACTACAGGTGTCGATACAATATCGAAGCTGAAATGTGGGAATACGATATAGGATACATCACCGTTACCGACCCATACACCTATATGGACAACAAGTTGGGAATTATTAGAAATTTACACGATACACAAGAAGAACTAGACCACGATCTTGCTGTTATGATGAATAATACGGAATTTCAGGAAGGGGGCAAAGAATACTGCTACGTGTTCGGCTGGGGCGCGGGTTCTTTCAAGAGAGAAAACGAAGTATTCGATACGGAAGATTACGTGGCAGAACTAAAACACAAGGCAGTGCAGTTCATCGATCGGATCAATTGTAAAACAAGGCTATGCGGCATAAGTGAAGCCATGTGCGCCTTCGATTTAGACAAAAATCGCTGCTTTTGCGCCGTTTCTACTGGAGGACAAGACGGACCTTTGTGCCACGCCGACAACGGCTCTCCATTGTTGTGTTACAATCGAATTTATGCAATTGGCGAGCCGTTGTTTGAGTGTGGCAGTGTGAAAGGTAGCTTATTTTTTACAGTCGACGTCGAAAGTTTAAGGCATTACATTCTGACAGGTTCTTCTGATGGGAAAACCTCCCAAAAATTATTACTCCTTCTTCTAATGATCGTTGCAATGATGCCGATGTTATTTGAACTTTAACACAACAAAACTGAGAAAACATAAATAACTGTTCATTTAACTATAACAAGAAATAAAAGTAACAGACAAAAAAAACTTTAAGCTATAATGCGAGTAAAATAAGAAAAAGGATTTCATTGAAAATGGCCTCTCTCAAATCACAGGAGAACGAGAGTAAAACTAATAGTTTTGTGACCTTTCTGTTAATAATTACCTAGTGAGGAAAGGGTTTTACTATTTATTCGCCTTCATTGAGAAGTTTTCCATTTCATTAAGCCAAAATAACGCTTGCACTCTGTATTTTCTGAATAGGTTACTAACTACATTCTCCAAAAAGTAAGTTATAAACGAGAATGGAGTGAGTTCGACCTCGCCCCGTGAAATAGCGAGTACTCTGGAAAGAGTGTGGGACGTCTGGAGAGTAAATTTAAGTTATTAGCGAGAATGAGTGGGTTCGACTTCGCCCCGTGTTATAGCGAGTACTCTGGGGGAGTGAATGAGACCAGTTTCCATGTTTACATCGGGTGTATGATAATTTATTTACTAAGCAATTAACCCAGATCTTACAAGAAGTTGAGTTTTCTTCTTTTTTCCCCATTTTTTTTCCTAGGCATTAATTTCGCATATAGTTCTTTGCATGTGCTATCTTGCTATATAAGGTTACGAATCGGATATACGTTTTTATAATTGTACGTTCTGTAAAACTCAAATAAAAAAAGCCGTTTCGTGAAGACAAATCGAAAAAACATTTTTTAAAATTACTGTTCCAAGTCTCCAAACAAATATAACATTTCCTTAGCTAAAAATTGCAGTTTAAAATTAGCACGCAATACGTTAATTAATTAATAAATAAATCATAAATTTATTTGTATAATCGTATAATCCTGATATAATATAATACTCGCTTAAACACCACCAAACTATGAAATAATTATTTTTTCAACAATATTTGGTGTTAAATGAACATGTTAACATATGTAATTACAATTTTGTTTTAATTTTGTACATTGTTTGGACAGTAATTGTTAAAAATTGTTTGTATACACATCAGGATGAACACAACGAAATTTTTTGTTTATTTGTCTTTATGCATGTATGTTGGCGGCGGTAGTGAGGTAGAGGCATTGGACGGCGAAAATGAACATCCCGAGAATTTGGTGAGGAAGAAAAGGATATTAGGAGGGGAAGTGGTAAATGATAATGTTGGGATTTTTGTGGCCAGTGTGCAAAGAAGAGCGGATCGAGCCCATTTATGCGTTGGCACCCTCGTCACTTTAAGACACTTGGTCACCACATGCCACTGCGTGGCGCACAGCGACGACAGCTCTTCGGGAATCACGACCGCCCTTCCGGAAGGTCATATCGTCATCGCCGGTTCAAAGAATAGCTTTACTCTTGATAACCAGAACACGAGAAACGTGTCGCGGATGGAGGCTGATTACAGATGTAGGTACAACAGTGATGCCGCGATGTGGGAATACAACTTAGGTTACATAACCGTCCTCAAGGCCTTCCGCTATATAGAAAACAAGTTGGGCACCATTAAAAAATTACACAACACGCAAAAGGATTTGGACGATGAACTTTTGGTTTTGATGTCGACTAAGGCGTTGCAGTCTGGAGGCTCGGAATTCTGCATGGTGTACGGCTGGGGCGGTACTGCGACCAAGACCACCGACGGTGTCTTCGACGTGACCACTTTTCCCGATCCACTAAATCATAAAGCAGTGCAATTCATCACTCTGCCAACGTGTCAAGTTCGACTGTGTACCATAGGAAAGGGAATTTGCCGATATAATTTTTACAAAAATAAATGCTTTTGCGTGGCTGCTTCTGGTGATGGTGTCGGTCCGTTGTGCGACGGCGACAGCGGCGCACCTTTAATATGTAAAGAGAAATTTTACGGTGTCGGAGAGGTCGTTCACGAATGTGGCGCTGTGAAAGTTAGCTTGTTTTTTAAGCTCGATATAGAAAGTATAAAGCACTACATTTTATCAGGCACCTCTTTCCCAAAAATCAATTATCCGCTGTTCTTTATTATGTCAGTCTTGACAATAATGCCGGTGTAATATCTAGTTTCCAAAACAGTTAAATACAGAAATTCATCTAATCGGTATGTATTGAGTTAGTACAAGCCCATTGCACCCTGAAATGTTCTTATATGAATTAACGACAATTAACGAGACAACATTGCAATAAAAGAATATATTTGTATATTTTTTGTACAATAGAATGAATTATTTATTGTCTCACCTGGAACAGAAGTTGTGTAGGTTTTAAATCATTTCCGGAAGGATGTAGCTGTTCAGTTAGCAAATATGAGTTCTTTTTGTCTATTTGCTGAATCTTCACATCTTGTATTCATAAAGGTCAGGCTTTTTCAAATGTTCACCGGGTCTGCAGTGCCCAGTCAACCAAACAAGTTTACATTCTGATCTTATTTTTTCTCCCTGTTATTCTTTATTAATTTCAAATCTCCTACTGTGATATTTGGATTGTCTGTGTACAGTGAGAGAATTGCTTGCTTTATACCTCCAACTTTATTTTCAGATGTAAAATGTGGAGTTCTGCTCCTGTCTCTGTAGCCGAGAAATTGTTCTTGCTTATTAGAACCCTTTAATAGTTCTGGTGTTTATCTGATGTGTCATCATTTTTGTATCAACTTTTCAGATCAAATTGAGCGTGCAAATCAAGTAAAGAAATGATGTTTTTGTACTTGGAATTTTGGTACTTTGTACCCTCTTTGTCAGAGGAGAGGAGTAGATAGCGATAACTTTATCCAGGTTATTCGATTTTATGTATTACTAGCTTTAAAACCCGGCGTTGCCAGGGGGATGATAAAAAATGTTTTTTCTCTTTTTTGTAAATCCTGATGGCCTTTATTTCTTATATGCCCATTTTATAATCTCTAAATTCACCCAGCACTAATGCAAACCAGGTTTGAAAGTTTCATCGGAATCGGTTCAGTAGTTTTCGTTTTTACGATTAACAAACATACGAATATTCACTTTGTATGTACAGGTTATTAACGACATATACTATGTATAAATTAACATATGGATATATAACTATTTGCAAAAATAAATTTAAGTTCATTTGGTAAAATTTCTATTTGTGGACGATGAAATTGTTTGTTTACGTTTTATTCTTGTGCACAGTTGTGCTCGGCCGGGAGGCGAAGACGCTCGACGGTGGAAAACGTACTGTTCGGAATTTAGTAAGGAAGAAAAGAATACTCAAAGGGGAAGTAGTAAATGAAGTAGTACCATATATGGTCAGTGTGCAAAGACGGTGGGATCGGGCACATGTATGCGGAGGGACGCTCGTCTATTTGAGACTCGTGGTCACCTCCTGCAGCTGCGTGGCGCACAGCGATGACAGTGCTTCGGGGTTGGAACCCGCTTTACCCAAAGGGTACATCGTCATCGCCGGGTCCAAAAGCAATTGGAATCTCAATGATGCAAACACGAGAATCGCCGTTCGAATGGAGGCGGACGCCAGATGTCGGTACGACCTCGGTTCGGAACTCTGGGAGCATGACATAGGCTACATCACAGTCCAGAAGCCGTTCAACTTTATCGAAAATAATTTGGAGACGATTAAAAATTTCCCTACTACTCAATGGAAATTAGACGCGGACCTTGCTACTTTTATGTATAAAACGGATTTTCAGGAAGGCGGGAAAGAATACTGTTACGTGTACGGCTGGGGTGCGAGTGCCACTAAAAAAGAAGATGGAGTATTCGACGTGGACGATATCACAGCAGACCTAAAACACAAGGCAGTTCAATTCGTTAATAAGTCGGATTGTAGAGCCAGACTGTGTAGCGTGAATAGGGGCGGTTGCGCGTTCGATTTGGACAAAAGTAAAGCATTTTGCATCGCTTCCTCCGGAGGGGCCAAAGGACCTCTGTGCTTCGGCGACAATGGATCGCCGTTGATATGTGGCGGACGATTTTTCGCAGTTGGGGAAGTGACATTCGAATGCGGTTTTTATCAATTTAGCTTGTTTTTTAAAATTGACGTCGAGACTATACGTACCTATCTATCGGATCACACCTCTTTCCCCAAAATCAGTCATTTTTTGTTTCCTTTTCTAACAGTCTTTCTCTCGTTGCAATTTCGAGTATAAACGCAAGCAGGAAAACTACAAAAAAACCTACTAAAAACTTTACTGATTCTAATAAATTCAGTATATTTTCCATGCCATACATTTTGGTGCATGTACATTGGTTTTACTAAAGTCAAAACTCATAAGAATCCCAATAATTCAGTCATTTCAACTATCACACTACAAAGCATACTACATTATTTCCTTCTGGAATAACAAACATTTGAATGAATTTAAAAAAAATCTTTTTTTAAACAAAATTCTTGTCCAACCATTAACATGAGAGATAATTAAACCTGTAAAATGTAAACATATGATTTGCAAGGTTTGGACAGCTCCAAAGTTCGTGAAATGACATCTAAAAAAAAAAAATTAATTTTTAAAAATCAGTCCGTTTCTCAAGAAACACCTTCGAAAAGCTGCCTTCTGCCAAATAAATAGAAGAAACCTCTATTAAAATAATACGAAAGCCACTTAAAATTTTAAAATCACAAATCAACGGTTTGAAAATTATTTGATAAATTTCTGTATATAAGAATGATCACAATTATACTGACTAATCATTGTTGATTTATATAAGGTCGAATATGCACACGCGTGTACATAGTTCAGCCCATCTCTTCTTGGCCATTCCAGCTTTTTGTGGAATTTACAATAAATTACAGGCAATTTACCGAGTAGGGATGGTAACCGTCGACAAAGTCAACTACATTCATTAGAAGTTTTATTTTTGTGCACGCTGACCACCTTTCGAGATTTTAAATAACTCGAGACCAAATTTCTACATTTCCTCCATTTTTGCTTCCTCTTCTAGTACTTTTGACGTTATTAAGAAAGAATTGCAGGCACCACCAATTTTTGACAAATTTATCGCTGTTTTGGATCTAAGATATTTTCGCCCAGCGAGCATCCACCTTTACATTTGGATCTTATGGATGCAAACTTTTCAGAGTGGTAAATTAATAGCAGAAAAGAGTCACCCTCCCTGGGTGTTGGCAGTCCGGGGTGATACCTCGTTCTTATCCGCTAGTTATGGCTGGACTTCAGGGGCTGTCGATAGGTCATTTCAACCCAACACAATCAATTCCTAAATCCATTCACACTCTCACTCATTCTTAAATACATTCTTTCCTATTTACATACCGTTCACTCAATGGTGGTAGAGTGATATTTATTCATTACCCTTTAAACCTATTATGCAACTAATCTAATTGCGGGTTGATCTCAATATTCCGCCATCGACCTTCTCACGCTACACACATAAGGCGACACAAAAATATCAGTAGAAGATATTAAAGCAATGTTTCTTCAAACTTCGATCCTCTCGGACACAACTCTCCATCTCAACCTACAGCGTTCGAATTTTCCCTCTTTTTGCCATTTTCAAATGTCGTGTAATGAGGATTCGATTCTCAGCGACTTATGAAGTGGCCACAGTTAGTGAAGTGATACTTCTTTTACTTTAGTGGTCAATTGATCAAGTTACTTCTTTCAATTAATTTTTATTTTTATGTAAGGTCTTGGTTGAGATAAAAAAGTCAGCGATTTGAACCCATGACCTTCGGCAAAATTTATTTAGAAATTTTGCGTGAACTGTAACATCCTGCTCTTGGCGTCTCTTGGGGGTCTCTTGTTCCGGCATAAGAATAATTGGAATAGAGGTTAAACGGTGTTTATCTGTATTTGTGTTGTTTTTTTTTAAATTTATTTATTACGATTTTAACAACTGTGAGCTTTAGTCGCAAGGGATAAATGAGATAGGAGACATAATGATAATCTAACATCTTACATATGGTAAGAGAAGTCACCCAGCAGAGACACGCCCTCACATTGAGGCAATCATCTCTCAAGAGATCTCTCAGCCACAAACGACGTGAAGGATTTCTAGGAATTTTGGGACCACAAAAATATTGGACAAGTAGAGGTGAAGGTTTTCATTTTTTGGACGCTTTTGTATCAGGAAGCCAATTGCAAATGGGATTTGGAAGTCATTGTTGATTGTTTAGGTTTGAAACGTAGAAGGGATTATTTAATTTTTTTAGTCCATTTACGTTTTAGTGGTCAATTGACCAAGTTAATTCTTTAAATTAATTATTCTTCTTATGTAAGATCTTGGTTCAGATAAAAAAAGTCAGTGTTACGAGCGGTATTCGAACCCACGACCTTCGGCTAAATCGAGCAGCGGCGTATTTAGCCGAAGGTCGTGGGTTCGAATCCCGGTCGTGACGCTGACTTTTTCATCTCAACCAAGACCTTACACAAAAAGAATAATTAATTGAAAGAAGTACTTGGTCAATTGACAACTAAACAATAAATGGATTTATAAATCTATGTTCCATCCACCTGACTAGGTTAAACTATGGTTCAACAATAACTCAATAAAAATTACGTTAGAATCTACAACAATTAACATGAGTAGTCATTACAATATACCTTCATACCTATCCTGTAAAGTATAGCCAAGACTCATACCCATTCAACCATAATTTATTATACCTAAGTCAGCAATAATATGCAAATATTAACAACACAGCCCAACTCCAAAGGTAATATATTTTACAAAGATCACAACAATGGACTAGTTCTAATAATATAATGTTGGCTATATATAACACTCAAGTTTTTTAATGTCTTTTTCTATAATTGCAAGCGCTTTCATCTCTATGTATATAAATCGTTCCTTTTATTGGCCTTCTGCTGATATGTAAATATTTTTAACAATCGATAGTTTTTACATTATTCCAGTTAATGTTGTGACGTGGAAATGGTCAAATAAAGCAATTCCATTCTTATCTGGGTTTCTTTTTTGCGCCCAGATATTCCATTTTTAATCAATTGTTTGGTTTGGCCATATTGTGTGGCAGTGCATGAAAGACAATTTAGTTTGTATATCACATACCTTTTATACACTTCTGGTATTTTGGACTTTAATTTAGATTAAACATTTTTGTATAGGCTATTTTTATACTTAAAAACTTTATTTTTGCCTAATTCTTCAAACCTACCTCTAAATACAGATTTTGGGGAGACCTACCTTGGTAATCCTTTCAAAAAACGACCTATTTTACTATTGAAATTGTTGTTTAATCTAGTTTTACAGATCTCATACCATCTCAGCATGAAAATGGCAAAAACAAGGAAGGTTCGAACGGTTAAAGAAAAAGTAAAAAGAAAAAAATTAAAGTTAAAGAAAATGTTTTTCTGAAACCTACATCACACCCGACCGCATCTCACGATATCTGAATAACTGTTCGAACGGTTGTAGGTTGAGATGGATTGTTGGTGTCCGAGAGAATCGAAGTCACGATAGCTCAAGTGGTAGAGCAGCGGGGTATTTAGCCGAAGGTCGTGGGTTCGAATCCCGCTCGTGACATTGACTTTTTTATCTCCACCAAGACCTTACATAAAAAGAATATTTAATTGAAAGATGTAACTTGGTCAATTGACCATTAAAACGTAAATGAATTTTTTATATTTTTAATCTTGAACTATTTCTTTTTCGATTTTAGAAAACTAACTTCCAATTAAGCGATTAACTTGTTTATATTATTGTTGTACTTTGGAAAGTACTCCGGTTACACCTTTCTCTTCAATAATTTGAACAAAAATGACGAGTAATGGATAGAAAGTGACGCACCGTATTATTTATTTCAATTTATTTAAAGCCGTCTTTCGTTTATCGAAACTAGTTTAGAAAGTGAGACATTTTAAGAAGAAAAAAGCAAGATTGGAAGAAACTGTAGAAAAACCGATATTCCGTAATGCAATTTTTGACCCGTCAACATCATATGAAGCGGTGAGTCGAAAACCGTTCACTATATCATAACCTCATAACGCCGGCATGGACAAACCGACGGTATACATTTTTCTTTGTTGGCCTTCTACTGAAGAAAATCGACTCGAGTCGTATGTACGCATTGATTACTTTTTGAAAAGGTCACAGTGGAAAGCGACCCATTTCACTTAACACTATGACTTCACGCATCATCAATTCATCTTTCTTTTCTTCACCCAGACGCAAACTGGAACCTAGGCGTGTTGATTTAAACCCAAGTCGTGTTGTAGAAAGTCACGTAGAATAAAGGAGAGTCAGAAATGTATTCAAATACGATAACCAAAACAGACCTTTCGATAATTACCGAAAATGTTAGAAAAATGAGAAAGTACTTCGTAAATGTTTTTCCCGCCTATCGGGATTGACTTAATTGCACTCGCGTGTGATTCGACTTCAAACTTTTTCGAAAACTCAATTACGTTGTACTTTCAGAAAATCAGAGATCGATGGGTTTTTTTATATATAGAAAATTGTTAAAAATAAACGTGAAACAGTCACTTATAAGACTAGAAGAAATTCACGGTGAAAGTGGTAAATTACGATTTGTTTTGCTGTGAGCGATGGTTTCTCTTCTCAGATAAACGGTCCTTTGAGGTGGTAAACGTTCTTATATTTCTTATCCATTCCTATTAATAACCTTGATCATGTCGTAAATTTTAACTACTGCATTTAATTGGCCGGAACTCGTCAACCCGATGAGCAGTTATCGTTTGGGCATTGGCGCTTTTTGCTCCGTTACTGGAACCTGTTCTACAACTTAGGCGAGATTAGGGTCACTTTTTTAAGTACGGACCGATCCGGCGTGCTTAATGGGAGTGAGATGAAACAACCGGAAAAGACCAGAACTGGCGATTCAAGACTTGTTCCAGTTTTAGCATTCTATGGTCAATTACAACGCAGACGAATTTACCTAAAGAGGATGTGGAATACAAAAAATCGATTCGCTTGGGGAAACCAAATTTTTATTTTTTTTAAACGTCAAAAGCCGCCATTTTAGGCAAAATATTGAAAAGCGATAATCGTGTTGTCAATAATATTATTTTAAAGTCCGATGTCTTTCTGTACAAATAATTTTTAACAATTTACTTTACTAATTACCACTTCTTGAGTATCCTAGAAAAAAAAAAGAATGTCATAAAACTTAATACAAGAACAAATTAAACACAATGTCATAAGTTATAAATAAATGTGAAAAAAGGGAAAATAAAGTTAATATCAGAGCGAATTGAAATGATGAGGCAATTAAGAAGGGTCAGAAGAATCAAAGAACACGTGAAGAACAAATCTGAAATTTTAACGAAAATTTAGAAAAAAAATCTCCCATACTTATCCTTACCAGCTGCCTATATGTCCCTCTATCTATTTTTCTGTAGTTACTTAGATATTTTTATATATCTCTATCTATCTATATGTGCTATGATTATCATAAAATATCCAGCAGAAAAAATTATGAGTGAGGAAATTCGTGAACAAATGACGTCCGGTGTAATCCAAACACAATGTTCAAAGTCATAAATAAATGTGAAAAAATGGAAAATGAAATTAATACCAGAGCTAATTGAAATGAGGTGGCAATTAAGAAGGGTCAGAAGACTACATCAAGAACAAACATACAATCAAAAACTACATGAAGAACAAATTTAAAATTTTAACGAAAATTTAGAAAAAATCTCCCACACTTACTCTTGCTAGATGTCTATAAGCCCCTCTATCTATTTTTCTATAGTTATATAGATATTTTTATCATTATCAATCTATTGTGCTATGATTATCAAAACTATCCAGCAGAAAAAATTATGAGTTAGGAAGACCAAACGACGTACCGTGTAATCCAAACACAATGTCCAAAGTCATAAATAAATGTGAAAAAAGGGAAAATGAAATTAATATCAGAGCTAATTGAAATGAGGAGGCAATTAAGAAGGGTCAGAAGACTACATCAAGAACAAACATACAATCAAAGACTACATGAAGAACAAATTTAAAATTTTAACGAAAATTTAGAAAAAATCTCCCATACTTACCCTTGCCAGCTGTCTATAAGTCCATCTACCAATTTACTGTAAATATAAGGAAATTTTTTATATATTACTTATTATTTCATGATAACCATAAAATATCCTGCAGAAAAAATTATGAGTGAGGAAGTTTTTGACCAAACGACGTCCCGTGTAATCCAAACACAATGTCCAAAGTCATAAATAAATGTGAAAAAGTGAAAATGAAATTAATATTAGAAATAATTGAAATGAGGAGGTAATTAAGAAGGGTCAGAAGAATCAAAGACTACATGAAGAACAAATTTAAAATTTTAACGAAAATCTAAAAAAAATCTCCCATACTTACCCTTGCTAGCTGTCTATAAGTCTCTATTTTTCTGTAGATATATAGAAATTTTTTATATATTTCTTATTATTTCATGATAACCACCAGCAGAAAAAATTGTGACTTAGGAAGTCCTTGCCCAAACGACGTCCCGTGTAATCCATAATAATCGTTGTTTCTCCGGCGCGGCGTCCCCACTGGATTTCCACATGGCCAAGGACCGAAATAGGTCAGAAATCCCCCGTGTGTGTCCGTGCTTGTGCCTTGCCTAAGGGTGGGTTAAGGATTTGATAGGTCAAGTGACCTTGGTTCCCCACCAGGTAGGACGAAGAAGAAGCAGGTGTGGTGGGGTATGCCCCGTTATACCTACCAAGACTGGCAGAGTCAGTAAGTCAGTAGGGCAGTGGTGGCTGGCTGGCATGAGATACACTGAACCGGAGGATATATACAGCGTCTGGATCTTACATCGCCAAGAAGGTAAATTTTCCTTGGAAGAAGTGTTTTAAAATTAACAATAACGAGCATTGGCTCCTGATGAATTTTTCCTTTTTCTTAATTTATCTAAAATCAGGAGTTCAAGATCAAGTACGGAAAGTAAAACACTTAGCTATCAGTAGAAAATATGTTTTATCAAATTTTCGTAAACGAAGATTTTGAAATACAAATTATATTATAACATGCCTTCTTCATAACCTCAAAACTTTTAGAATTTGGTTCCTAAGAACATAAAAATAATTTTGACTGTGTTAAAGTAATTTAGATTATAAATGATTGTATTTATGCATTTCATAATTTCTTTTGGTGCTGACAACTAACAGTTTTGTAAAATTATTGTCTTTTTAAAGAAACGAAGGATTCTTGATAATCTTTCATCGGGACATTGTTTATCAAATTAAGTATAATTTGACTTTTAAAAAGTGATCACTTTCACAACACTTTTCAATAAAATGTTCATTTTATACAAAAACTATTCAACTTTTATGAGAACAAATCAAAAATAGTATAGACAACAAATTTCAGCATTTATACTCTGACAGAAGTAACGTTTGTAGGTTGGAGTGTTGTTATCATTCATGGAAGAAATCGGTGCTTAGTTTGAAAAGTATTTAGTATAAAAAAGACCCAAAAATTCTAATTGAAGCAAGTCGAAATGAAACAAAACAACGTTCGTAACGTTTAAACAGGATTTACTTTTTACCCTCAAAATGATCACTATTATTTGGCTGTTTAGCTTGAATTTCGAAAATATTGCCATGCCTGTCAAGCAACAGGTAAAAAAATAAAAAGGCAAAAACATTGAGCAAACAGTTCTCTTCCTAGGTTCCATTTTGACAGAAAAACATCTCGTGATTAACACCGGTCAATAGTTATTGACTAGAATTTTTAGAGGTTGAGATCTTGACTGCTTTTTTTTCAATCAAATTAAATTTGTCAGAATAAATACATCGTAAATAAAATTGATCGCATTTGCTAGCTGTATGACTGTCCGGTGAAGAACATGGTCAGGCTTACTGTTTGGTAATTATTTATCATCTTGGTCCGCCCATTCTCGCTGGTTTTTGCTAGTTCGGCGTTTCGGCATTTCGCTTCAGTGTTTGGGATTTTAAGGGGTCTCCACAGAAATAATCTAAACATTGAAGATGGCGAAATGCCGAAACGCGTCTGAACTAACAAAAATCAGGGAAGATGGGCGGAGATCACAGGAGGTCAGGCTGTTTACGACCCAAAAATTCAATATTAATCTTGCATTTTCAAATCGTATATAAGCCTTAAGCCCGTTAAAAGCGCATGTTGCCGGTTCAATGACCCACTGGCGAATAAATGTGGTCGCCTTTGACAATGTTATTACAATTTGTGGCCGTCACCTCTCTTTACCTCGAATAAGTTGACAGGAGGTTATGGGACATAGGAGAAATAATAAAAGTCCAAAGTTGTCTAACCGTTTTAAGAGGCCGATTCGCAATTGAAATGATTCCAAGGGGAAACAGTCAACAAAAAATATTTTGCCTCATTACAACCGATGACTCTCCCTGCTGTTGTATCGGTTTCCAGCTCACGTCCACCGTTTGTTCCCGTTTGTAAAACCGGGACAGACGTCGAAAATCGTCTTAGTGAATTTTTATGCTTAAACCTTTTACTTTTGCAGATCGTTTTTAAGCCAATGTTTTTTGTTTGTTTTTTGAAATGACATATCTTTAGATGTTGACGGTATCGCACTTGAGTCGGTCATCCGCCTTGTTTGAAGATCCCATCGGACGACAAATTACGGACGCCCTAAATACAGCTCGCATTTCGTTTGCGACTATTTTTCGTGACGTGTCCCAGGGCGGTTGACCCCGAATTGAACAGAGTCATTCAACAGTTGAGAAGAGATGGAATTCGAATCCATTTGCCTTAGAGACGTCTTTTTGCTCCTACGTGATCGCGCTATGAACCAAGATTCAAAGATACTAAGGAATGTCTCTTCGTACATTTTTCTACACAAACATGTTCTTTAGGCTTTTGATATGATGTTTCTTTCCTTTCTTAACGGATCTTCTTTTTTTAAAAATATTATGAATCCATTAGTAGAACTTAACACAAATAAACTTAATTATTTTAACTTCCAAAGAAGTTTTATTACATTTTTCAACATCCACAGGTTTTGCTTGTTTTCTTTCACTGAAATGAACTGCTAGAAATCAGACTTGCAGTGTGTCACAGCTATGACCTATCATCATGTTCTATTAAGAAACAATCCGTTGAAAATTTTTGGTTTTTGGCCACGCCATTTTGGTTTGATAAACGCATGTAAAAAATTAAGAAAAATGACCTAAGAAAACAATTAATTACGATAATAAATAGTAATAATTGAGGCTGGGTTGGGCTTGAGGTGAGAATGAATAAATAGAAACGAAAGCGGGATCGGCCAGTGGATCATGATGGTCACGAGTTATGACATAATAGGCCGAATCGATATAACTGTACACCCTGGATGACAGCGCTGGGCCAATTCCGGGTTTGAAATTCTTTACATCCTTTGGCTGTTTTCCCCATACCAAATTCAAAAACCAAGTCGGAAGAACAGGAAATACAAAAATAATCTCAAGAGAAACCAACATTTATTTGATACAGAAAGGCTATAAGGCGTTTATCCAAGAAAAGTACATTTTTTAAACCGTAATTTGGTTTTTTCTTAGTGAAATTTAAATAATTTGTCATGAATTGATTAAAAACGTCGTGCATTGGAAAAAATTCTTGTATAATTTACTACAGCGTCTTGTACAATTGTAATTACTGTTTTTGCCTGTTGCCTTTGAAGTTTTATAATTGAAAGTATGCAATTCAGTGGAAGATTAATTCGGAATGACAGGGTTTGTGGGGATAACGGTACCTTGACGAAAATGAGCCTTTTCGATGATAAGGAATGAGCGAGGAATTATCCATATTTTCGTTCTTGCAGGATGCTTAAATATTAAACCTGCATCACCGATGTCGGTAAAGGAAACCTGTTATTTACCCAAGTCCGCTGTATCAGACCAGATTATTAATTTTCAAAAACGTTTGTACACAAAAAATGACCCAGAAATGTTTTGATAGGCCATAAATTGCAGTAATGCGAACCGATGTTAAGCTCTATCGAATAAGAAAAGGAGCTGTATTGCCGAGGACAATTTTTGCGAGGGGTGAGAGTCGGGGCTACTTACCGAGAATCTGTAACCGTAAACCAATTTTATTAGGCAATTACATTTTATCGTCTCTATATAGTACCTTTGTGCCGACTTACGACGGCGAAAGTCCGTGTAAGGTTTTAAGTGCAGAAGGCAATTACGCCCTTGTAACATGGTCGAACTTAAAGTATACCCGACTTTTTCAGATTTCAAGAGAAAATTGAATCGTGCGCTAATTGCAATGTAGACCATTAAACTTTGCGCATTTTATAATTTCGAACAGTTGATTCAACTAAAAGAACTTACCGATTTTCCATAAAAATAAATAAATACACACGTGCAGACAGACAGTCATAGTCCTTTTTAATTTTCGTAATGTGCTTCTTACTTTTTCACCTAGTGCAAGAGCAAGAGGTTCATAGACAGGCGAATGATGCATGTATACATACATATACAAGCAAACACATACACAAAGGTTAATTGTATGAACTTATTTAAAGCTATGGTAAATAAAAAATAATTAAACTGAACTAAATTAACCTAATTCCTTTGCGGACTAACAAATACCACCAACTGTAGAGAAGGAATATGAAAGAATAGGGATAAAAGATCCACAAGGCATTCTGCAACTCGGCTAAGTAGATCTAATGTGCTTATCTGTTTTTATAACTCACTGGCTAACATCGGACGTTAATCGACCTCCATAGCGTTGCAAGTGAAGAATCTTTCTTGTTGACTTTTTTCCTCTAATGAAGAAGCAACAATCTACACATATATAGAACCTGTCTCTCCGGTTTTCCTTCTACCGGAGTTATTTTTACCTGTGGCAATGTCCATTTGTAGGGCAACTCCTTCCTTGTAAATTTTGACTTTTTTGTCGTCTGTTTCTGTGGTGTGCTATATTCAAGACTTGGTATGGTATGGTATGGTAGAAAAGGTTACTAGGAAGCGGGGTTTGTACGCCCCAGGCACTGCAGCCTTCTGGCTTATTGTACCTTCCTTGTTCCTTAGTTCAGTCAATAGACTCAATCCTTCTTCTTAGAAGTATCAGGTCATTGACTGTTGCTGTTGCAATTTGATTCCCTAAGATTAAACCTCCATTGAGCTGTTGCTTCGAATTCGAAGATGATATGAGTGGCTGTTTTCTCCTCCTTATTACATAATCTGCAAATGGGATCATCGCTGTATATACCCATGTTGTGTAGATGTTTTCTCAGATGCCATTGACCGGTTAGTAGTCCTACCACTCCTCTGAGTTTGGCCCTCTCCAATTACAGCAGTGTTTTTGCCAGTCTCGGTAACATCATAAGTTTACTATGTCTAGCACCGCTAGAGTTTATCCACTTCTCCTTTTGTTTTGCTTGGATCCATTCTGCGATTGAGGATTCTATATTTGTTTTTGTTATCCCAAGAATAGGTTCGGGGTCAATGTATGGTCTTTCAGATCCTCCTCTGGCCAGTCTGTCTGCTTTCTCGTTACTCAAAATCCCCCCCCCTGTGTGCCCTGGCAACCAAGATACCGTCAGGTTGTTGTGTTTCCCCAAGTTTTGGCGATTTTGGATGCATTCACTGACTAATTTTGATGTGATTCTTTTACATGCTAATGCTTTATTGGCTGCTTGGCTATCTGATCTTATGAGGATTTTTTTGTCAGTGACATTCAAGACTTACTTTGGCTTTCGAAAAAACTTTTGTCACATGGGCTCGTGTTCCTGCTTCTTGCCCTTTGGATTCAAGGTTACTGTTATGAAAATGTTGGTGATTGTTGGTGGTTTCACATAATCCACTCCCTCCTTCAGTAGGGTTGCTAACCTGTTCGTTGAGGCT